AAATTACAACAAAATTTTTCTATTAATTTACTAACAAATTATAATAAAAACATACATGAAACAGTTGTTTTAATAATCTCGAAAATTGCTCGTAGACAAAAAAGATGGTATAATATTGCTTATTTACAAGAAATCGAACAAGTTTAAGTATTAAAGTTATAGAGAAAAATTCATAACATTATTGTAACAAAAACTGACTAACATAAAATAATTCACCTCTAAAGGAAAAAAAAAACACTAAAACCTGTCTACAGAACATAAAGAGACTAGCATACTATTTTTAGTGTTAACATCTATTATTATTAATTAATGTTATTTCTTAAAGGTCAAGATTACAATAATCTTATTAAGAAGATTGTTATATTACTTTTTTTAAATTTCTGTTCCTGTCGAAAATAAGAATTTATCTAACAATAAATCTTTGTTCAAAAGGCTAAATAGCCTTTTATGTCGCTTTGCCATTCAATACGAGTATAATGTTTATTTGTTTGCCAATAATAATTTGGATACAGCTTACTTTCAGTTTATCATTGTTTCAGCTGAATCATTTTGAGGTTGGGGTTTTTGTATGCAAATTTCAATTACCCTACTTGAAATTGCTTTAATTCACTTGCCCAAAATTATTTCCGATTATTACATAACCTTACGCCAATCTCTCCCAAACTGATAAATAATTCATAAAACATAACAGATAAAAAACCCACGAAATTGTTTTAGTAGATCAATCATGATTTATGCAAGTTATTGAAAGGTATCTTTGATCTACACGTCTAAACGAAATTACATGTGCGCGTGCAGAGGATTAGGGATATAGATCTTACTTTGCGCAAGCAAAACTCCTTCATTAGTTAAATTAAAGATCAGATGGCCCGAAGGTGGTCATAAAAAGGCATACCTTGTGTCAAATTCAGTGTCGTAATATTGTTATCGAGAAATTTAAACTGGAGCAGGAGAAAGGTTTTCTAATAAAAGTTTTACATAATGTGCATGATCTTCGGGAATTATTTGTTTCTATTTAAATTGTGCCGCATGATTGACCCCTGGAAGTTTTCCTTATACAAAATTTATCACCACATACACTCTGAATACTTAATCAACAAATCACTGATCCGGCAAATGAATTCTGAAAATTTTTACTTTCAGTGAAGGAATGTGAGAAACGCACAAATTTTAAGTAAAACGAATTTCGACAACTCGATGTATTGTCTAGTAAAGAGGAGAAATTTACGTTAAAAAGCAAAATCACATAAACATGGCATTTGAAATTTGGTGACTTGTAATAATGTAACAATAAATCTGTTTCTTGCAACCACTGTAACTAATAAACAATTGACAAGATTTTTCTCTCTGTTGACAGTAACTAATTTTTGAAGTTATATTGTGTTTCTTAATAATGTTAGGCTCCATTTATAAAAGTCATCGTTTTGTTTACTTTTTCAACAAGAAAGAAATTTTGTCAAGACAAATCTGAAATTTGGCCAAATTAATTCAAACATACATCGTTTTTGCTAATTTTGATAAATATAGTGTGTTTTTTATTTAGAAATTTACTAAATTTAAAAGATTTTGTGAAAACAATGTAGAAAGTAGTAAAACGAGAATTGTAGGTGCATTATTCTATAAACTTAAAGCATTTTTTGTTTCTCTGGCTTAAAATCTAGCCAAATCGATTGAAAATTGCTCAAATTGCTTTATTTTAGAAGAAAACTCTTATTAAAGCCAGTATTTGGTTAAAATACTTTACATTTCATCGTTGAAATACATTGATTTAAAGCGATTTCTGATTTAAAATCTAGCCAAATCGATTGAAAATTGCTCAAATCGCCTTATTTTGCTATAAACGACAATTTAAATATTCATTTTGTTTCTTTTAACTAATTTAATTAATTTTTGGCTTGATTTTTTAACCAGAAAACTTTGTAAATCCATGTATTTCAACAAAATAAGTGTCTAAATTTTCGTTTCCAGCCAAAATAAGACGATTTGAGCAATTTCTATTTCTAATCGGTTTGCTTTAATTTTGAGTCAGAAAAGCTTGTAAATCAATAAATTTCATCAAAAAAGTGTTTAAAGATTTTATTAAAACAAAGCAAAAAACTATTTTTAGTGTAAAATATGTTTTTGTTTATAAAATTAAGTTTGAAATGTACAAGAAAAACCAGAATATCAGAATTCAAGAATCGAGAGATTTTGCCAAAACAAAGTTGAAATTTGACTACATTAAGTCGAACTAATTTTAACAGATATAGTGAGTTTTTCACTAAGAAACTCACTAAATTTAAAACATTGTTTTAAAACAATCTAAAAAGTGGTAAAAATTTGATCTAGAAATGCATTATTTTACAAATTGAAAGAATGTTTCTGTCAAAAAATTCTAAAGGTTTTGCAAGAACAAAGCAAAAAATCGTTAGATTAGGTCTAACTGCTATACAAAATTATGTTTGAAATGTTAAAGGAAACAAAATATTGAAAAATTAGGTGTAAAGTACCGACATTGTATTTACTTTTTTACCGAAAAATTTTCAAAATTCAAGAAATTTTACTAAAACAAAGCCAAAGTTTGAACGAATTAATTTGAACATGCATTACGTTTACTTATTTCTATAGATATAGTGAGTCTTTCGCTAAGAATTTTATTAAGCTTAAAAGATGTTTTAAAAACATTGTAATAAAAATTAAATCTAGCATATTGCGAAATTACGTCTAAAATGCATTATTTTTACTTTTTCAACAAAAAACTTACAAAAATTAAGAATTTTGCCAAAATAAAGCTGAAATTTGGCCAAACTAAGTTATGCATATTGAGAGCTTTTCATGAAGAAACTTACTAAATTTCAATTAAAAAAAAATGGTAATATAAAAAGTTGTTAAATTAGATCTAGAATGCATTATTTTACGTTGTTTTCTACAAACATCAAACATTTTTTGACAAAAAAGTAAGAATTTTACTAAAACAACGCAGAAAACCGTTAAATTTAAGACAAAAATATGTTATTGTCTATAAAATTAAGTTTGAAATACAAAACAATAAAACAGAATATATTGTTTTTATTTTTTAGGGAGAAGCATACAATATTCGTGAGATTTTGTCAAAAAAGGCCCAAATTTGGCAAAACTAAGTCGAGCATGTTTAATTTTTGATAATTTCGATGGATATATAGTGTTTTTTTTTCACTAAGAAACTCACTATAAATTTAAAAAATTAAAAGATGTAGAAATCGGTAAAATTAGACCTAGTAAAGCATTATTTTATAGTAGTTTTTTTTCCACAACTTAAAGCACCAAAACAACTGTAAAATTTTTTGCTAAAACAAGGCAAAAATTGTTAAATTAGGTCTAAAACAAGACATTGTCTATATAATTAAGTTTGAAACGCAAAACAAATGCATAAAGTCTAAATTTAAAATCAATTATTTTCATGAAATCTAAAATGTTTTGCCAAAATTATTGAATTATTTTATATTTCTCTTTGTATGTTTTTTTATCTTGTGTAATGAAAATAAATTATAGTATTATATTATTACACTGTAATTATCCGATTCAGGTAAATCGACAACAAATTTATGCACCTGGACGTCGATTTCCAGTTGTGAAAAACGAAAGCTGCTAACGGATATCCTAGTACGTGCACACACACGTTCTGCCATAAACTACACGGGAAACTTTCTTATGATAATAAAATGCAGAAACGCAAGCATTATTTTATACGTAATTGTAACGCTTCATTTCATCAGTTAAATAACTTTTAATTAAGTTAGTTTGATTGTTTGAGGAACTGTTGACAAATTGGAGACTGCAAAAGAGAACAAGTCATGAGATAAAATTTCAGATCACAGTTTCACTTTGAAGCTGGAAAGTTGAAGAAAATTGATGAAAGTGATAGTTTTCATAAAATTATGAGAGTCATTCAAAGTCGCTTTCATTGTTCCTGAGAACAAAAATGAGAATCTTTTAATGACAGCAGATATTTGCATTACAATGAAAAGTGGGGACGAATCTAAAAAAATTGCTAAATATATACAATATTTATTAATGGTCTTACATAACAAAATACAAACATTATAATAATAATACTATATTATTACATCAAGAGTTAAAAAAATAGAGCTTTAATCTGCGTTATGTACAAAACCTAGTAACCACGCAATAATGACTGCTCATTTCCACATTAACATTTGGTAATTTTTCATTACATAAGGCACAACATAAATAAAATCTAAAGTATTCAAGGTTGCAGCGGTGCAACCCAACGGCCTTGAAAGGAATGACAATGAATCAAGACAATGTCGAAAGTTATGCAGATCAACACCCGATGCAAAAGTGAAAAGTAACACTTGGCGATGCTTTAAAAATTCAAGCATGCAAACTCAGTGTTACTTAATCGGGGCGTGACCGTGTTTATGGTAGATATCGTTGCACTTTCACTAAAAAGACAGCCAGAGGTTATATACACCCTCTGCCTTGATCAGTCTAATATATTCGAGTCTCTCAAAACACTTAATTAAAACTGAATATTGTGACCTCTTAGAAAGGCGTCAATTTGACCCGACGCCAACGGCTGGTCTCCAGAAGGTTGAATATAATAGACGGGTTGGTCTTGAACGGCTTGTTTTTGTTGTTGTTGCTGTTGAAGTCTTGCTCGTTGTTGTTGGGCGTACAAATGCGCCGAGTTCTGAAACTGCAACCCGGCTTGTTGTTGTTGATACTCAGCTTGGGACGGTTGAGGCCTCAGATGGGTGTAGAGAGGACTCTGCTGTTGAAGCTGTTGTAAATTCACCACGGTTCTTTGTGGTTGGTGAACATAGGGTTGAATACGTTGATTTAGGGAGAAATCACCCTCCGTTTGAGGAAGGGTTTGGTACAGTTGTGTGTTGTATTGTCCGGAAGTCGGATCAAATACAAGCGCTGATGAGTACACCGGATTTCCAGTACCTGCAGAAGTCGGTTTATTGGTTTTTGTTACGGTTTTGGGAGTGGGGGTTGGTGCAATAACATTGTTTTCTTGCTGGAATTTTTGGAATTCTGCATCAAAATCGAGACTACCTCTTGATGGAAGTGCAGTGCTTGATTTGGTGTACAATACGGAAGGTCTTGGAGTTACTGAAACTTGAACCAGTTGTGGGCGGTAAGTTGTAGCCGGGAGTTGAGTCCTAGCTGAAGGAGTTGGTGAAACTGGTCGAGGGGTAATACTGATGCTTTGTTGCTTCGCCAAATAAGACGCTGGTGTCGTTGCTGAAATAAGTTGAGGTCTTTGATACACTTGCGCCGCTTCTGTTGCATATGTTGGTCGGGTGATGTAATTGGGGCGACGAATAGGCTGTAAAATTTGATACAGTTACTATATAGGGTGTTTCATTTTTATTGTTACAAATTTAACCAGATGATAGAATATTCAATTTTAAGATAAAAGTTTCCTATAAACATATATCTAAAAATTTTATATAAGGAATATATGCAATACAAATCCGTAAAATATGCGCATATACCGGGTGGGGCATCGGTTACGCGCACTTGATAAATCACGACTTCAAATTAATTAAAACTGGCGATATTTCATATATCTAACTAATTATTGATAGGGTATAATTTGATAATTTTTCTAATTTTTTTGGATAATAAATGAGTCCGTAACAGTTTTGTGTGTTATATGAATACTTTCTGTTAATTTACCTGTCAGCGCATCAAACTTTGATATCACAATTTCAAATTTTGACTTGGTTAGCCAAATAATCGCTTTTTTTTATTTAAACACAAACCAGACCCGTGATTTATGACAAAATGGTATAATTTGCCAACAAAAGAATTATTTACTGGTAGCCGACCGCTTTAAAGGGTCTTTTTGTTGTAAACCTTGGAATCTTATCCCAATTGCAGTTCCCCATTGTCACCTAAATTTACGATGGCACAAGTATCAGGTCATAAATAAAAATGATTTTCAAAGTTAAGATGGAAAATTGCGTTTAATTCAAAATCTAATTGATATTTTTTTTTGATTTTGTAAACAATTGTAGGAAGTGAATCTGCGTAGGTCAGTATAAAAATTAGAATTAAATTTTTTGGGTGAAAATTACTTTTTATTTTTTTTGGCTTTGTTTGTGAATGAAAAATTACCAAAAAATTAGAGAATGTACCTTACTACTGCCTAGGTAAGTGTAAAAAAATTCAATAATTTTATTTAATTAGAAGTGGCGATTTTCTTTTTGGGCGTAACGGATGCCCCACCCGGTATATGCACGTATTTTCACTAAAATATGCACAAAATATTAAGAAATATGCTCGAATTTATGCCAAATATGCATCGATATGCAAAACTTTTAACAATAAAAAATCAAAGTTGGAATAAATTTTTATCCTCGAGTACACTAAAGTTTGTACTTTTATCATCTTGAACCGCACAGGATGAACGAAAGTGAATAAATAAATTGGTTTTGTCTCAGACAAGCCATTTTAATAACCTACCTAGTAATTAAGTCTTTCTAAGAAATCTGTACTTTTCAGATCACATCACTTTAAACAATTCATTTCCAGGCAACTACTTATCCACATAGATGGATTTATTCGTTTTATACCAGGTGAATAAAAAGTATGGAACCAAACATTTTTTGCTTAAACTATTTATTTTTTAAAAACTAATTAATGAATTAAATGTTTTATCAAGAATAAATTTTTTCGAATTTTTGTTTTGTTTTTGAGTTCTACAAAAAAATTATTTTATTTAAATGGCAACCCACTAAAAAATGTTTTGTATACTCAAAAACAACTGAGTTAGAGACTATCTACTTTTTATTAATTTAAAAAAAAATTAGACAAATTACAATTTTAACAAAAAAATTGCATAATTCAAAGAAAACAAAATTTCGTTTTGAAAATACGAACAGATTTTTTATATTACTTTATTTTATATTAATTATTATTTTCCAGAGGCAAATAATTAAAAAAAAACCGTTTGGTTCTAAACTACACCCTGTATAAAACGAATTTAAAAACGAAACACTCAGCAAGATACTAATTCTTTGAGTCCGGCTTACGAATTGTTGTTTTCTCTTTAACATATTTTGTAATCAGATCATTTTTCTTAAAGTGGCCAATTTTTAACTTGAACTGAAATTTTTTTAATCGGAAATTTGTGATTTGAAGAAAATATGCACAAATATGCATTATTTTCTAAAATATGCCAAAATATGCATTTTTAATTGGCTTATTTTAATCAAAAAACATTAGATATGCATAGAAAACTTACAATTTTGTTGATATACCTCTTTATAACAAATATGCATTTTGCATATAATCCAAGCCTTACTGATAACCTTTATACACCCAAAGATAAAATGGCGAAATATTTACTCAGGGGCGTCCTAAACTGGGGGTTTAAGGTAAAAAGTACCCTAACTATTTTGGAGGTTGGTTTTTGCCACTTTCAGCCACAAACTTTGCGTTTTTTCGATAAAACTTACCGTTTTTGAGTAAAATCAGTTTACAATTTGTCTTACAGACCATAAAGAGGATAAAAATTAAAAATTAAATTTGTTTAAATTTCGACAACTGATCTTTAAATTCGTTCAGGTGTTTTAAAGTCATAAGCTGTACCAACTCTTGTAAGTTTATCTATTCTGCAATAATGGAAAAACCCCATTAAAAACGCATCTCTTTCAGGGGGTGTAGCTCGCTTACGTAACATTTTTTAATACATGTTTATAGGAAATCACCTGTTTAAGTTTGTAACAATAAAAACGGAACACCCTGTATAAAATTTTGTAAAGTTACCTGTTGTGGTTTCAGCACTTGTTCAGGTTCGGGTTGTTCTTCCTCGCTTTGGTCGTAGTTATTCTGAAACAATGTTACTGCAGGTTTTGGGGCCAATGTTACAGGTCGGATCGGTCGAATTGGTCGAGTCGGATAATTAGCTGGTCCATTATCAGCTTCGTTTTCTTGTTCTTGTTCCGTTTCTTGTTCATCTTTCGGAGCATTGGGATCACAAGGATTACCAGAAACATAAGTAAACTCTCTTTTGTTGCCATCAGGATCAATATAACCGTATTTTCCTCTGACAACACAATCAGTACCTCTCGTTTCTTCCTTGAAACTACCATCAGCAGCCTCGTAACCGAAAGTGAACGAACCATCATCATTGACTTTGTTGTAATTTCGGATGGTTTGTACTGGGGGCGCTTTAGCTGCTTCTTTAGCTCTAGCAGTTGGTAGAGCTTTACGAGACGGTGGAATATAATTATCTGAAGTACTTCTAGACGAAGCAGTTGGTTGTCCATAAAGACCATTGTATTGATCTGCTGATGATACCAAAACTACGCGTTGTCGCGGCGATTGAACCTCTTCATCTTGTGGTTCAGCTGCGTAATACTGAATGGTTTCTTGCTCCTCAGGTTCAGGTATAGGCTGGACACGGATTCTTCGCGCTTCGGAAAAACTTAAGAAAACAGCTCCGCAAAGAAGAAGCGGCAGCCACTGCAATTATTAAAAGAAGAATTTATTACAAGCAGTTTTTCTGGTTCTAATGCGTAGTCTCAAGGAAAAGGTGTGTAACACAATATGGAACAACAGTTATAAGAATCGTGCTTTTCAAAGCAACATCACGAATCAGGAATAAAAGATTTTTTTTTCTCTGTTGACAGTAACTAATTTTTGAAGTTCTATTGTGTTTCTTAATAGTGTTAGACTCCATTTATGAAAGTCATCGTTTTTTTTTACTTTTTCAGCAAGAAAGAAATTTTGTCAAGACAAATCTGAAATTTGACCAAATTAATTCAAACATACATCATTTTTGCTAATTTCGATAAATATAGTGTGTTTTTTATTTAGAAATTTACTAAATTTAAAAGATTCTGTAAAAACAATGTAGAAAGTAGTAACATGAGAATTGTAGGTGCATTATTTTATAAACTTAAAGCTTCTCTGGCTTAAAATCTAGCCAAATCGATTGGAAATTGCTCAAATCGCCTTATTTTGCTAAAAACGACAATTAAATATTTATTTTGTTGCTTTTATTAAATTTAATTAATTTTTAGCTCGATTTTTAAACCAGAAAACTCTGTAAATCCATGTATTTCAACAAAATAAGTGTCTAAATTTTCGTTGCCGGCCAAAATAAGCCGATTTTCTGGTTCTAATGCGTAGTCTCAAGGAAAAGGTGTGTAACACAATATGCGTCATGAAACAACAGTTATAAAAATCGTGCTTTTCATAGCAACATCACGGATCAGGAATAAAAGATTTTTTTTCTCTATTGACAGTAACTAATTTTTGAAGTTCTATTGTGTTTCTTAATAGTGTTAGACTCCATTTATGAAAGTCATTGGTTTTTTTTTACTTTTTCAACAAGAAAGAAATTTTGTCAAGACAAATCTGAAATTTGACCAAATTAATTCATTCATTTTTGCTAATTTTGATAAATATAGTGTGTTTTTTATTTAGAAATTTACTAAATTTAAAAGATTTTGTAAAAACAATGTAGAAAGTAGTAACATGAGAATTGTAGGTGCATTATTTTATAAACTTAAAGCTTCTCTGACTTAAAATCTAGCCAAATCGATTGGAAATTGCTCAAATCGCCTTATTTTGCTAAAAACGACAATTAAATATTTATTTTGTTGCTTTTAATTAATTTAATTAATTTTTGGCTCAATTCTTAAACCAGAAAACTCTTCAACAAAATAAGTGTCTAAATTTTCGTTGCCGGCCAAAATAAGCCGATTTTCTGGTTCTAATGCGTAGTCTCAAGGAAAAGGTGTGTAACACAATATGCGTCATGAAACAACAGTTATAAAAATCCTGCTTTTCATAGCAACATCACGAATCAGGAATAAAAGATTTTCAGAAAAATAAGCTTCACGTGGGAGATAGGTGGAGTTATTATTCAAGTGTGCAAAGAGATTTCAACCTACAAACGTTCGATTTTGAAACATTGTCGAACCCACAGCCTCATGGCAATGATTGATTGTCTACTTTGTGCCTAATTTTGGCACAGAACAGTTTTTAAACTTTTCTTTTATTACAACATACTAAAAATGCGAATTTGTCAATTCAGACTCTAGCAATAAATTATTTTGACTCTGTTCTCCTATCAGAATGCGGAACAGCACATATAGAGGCTCTGGCGACATTCTTTTCTCTTATATTTTTACATAATTGCTCTTATTGTTTACAGTTGAGCAATAATTAGGTGAAAATTACTAAGTTTTTCATAACCAAGTAGAAATTGGTGTTATGTAGCCACGCAATTAGCTTAATTTGACAATAAATCGTCAATAAAATAATTATGTTTGATGGGGCAATTAAACCTTTCCACATAGAGTCCAGGGATAATATTTAGCTCAAAGCCGCAACCTTCCAAAGAAGCAAACTTGTTTTATTAAATTACTTTCATTGCAAATAATTATCTTGGCCAAAGATATTGCGTACAATACGGCAGACAGATCCTGTAAGTATTAATCGGCAAGGTTAGCAACGATAATAAGCCCCGAGGTGAGAAAAACTTCCAATTTCTTCACTACCTACTTGTTGCAATAAAATGGAATTCATAAATCTGTAACAGATTTGGTTTTAATGCGTCTTATATAATAAATTGGTGCTAAGATTACTCTCGCTTATGCAAAAATGTCGCCGATGAATAAACATCTCGATCGTAAACTGGTTTAAAAGGCGAATCACCAGGTGAAGGACATTTATGAAAGGCGTGGACGGCCGTTATTCATCTACTGTTTCCAAAACGGATTACGTGGAAAGATCCAAGGCAAAGCTTAAGACTAATCACAATTGCAAAACCGGAATTTTGCCCAGATTCCGGAATTTTGTTCCACCAAAACAACGATGCTTTTGATACAAACATAATGAATGTAATTATCGATTGAGAAACAATGCTTATCTATGAAAATTATCTTAAGAGGCGAACCGTTCGTTGCGTTATAATTATTATTAATCTGGAAACTTAAGGCTCGAACTATAATTACAACGTAGATAATTAAAACCATGTAAAGATGTGCAATTTTGCATCAGAAAAGTCCAATATTTCGTTCTCATGAGACTCAACAAACTCGAAAGTTGTTATTAATTAATAGTTTCAAAGCTCTTAATTATCTGAAGGAAATCCAATAATTGGTTAATATAGGAAGTGTTATTTGACACAGCGTCACTTGTTGGTAGTAGAATGAGATTTAATCTGTGAAGTGACTGCACTTCCAGGAAAATGCATAATTGCAAAAGTTGCTTTTTTGCACGAAAATCCAAATAATTACGTGGCTCGTGAGAACATGTGCCATTACTCCTTATTGTGCCAACTGCACAGATCGAACTCCTGACCTTTGATGGAGCAATTCCAATTATGCAACTTTCATATCGTCGCTGGTGCACCACAGAATTGTGTTTGAACCAAAACTGCCCACATGTGGTAAAATCAATTCAATTAAGAAAAGTATTTTATTGCTAATGACGAAACTTGGGGTTGCATCTATAAATTAGCAAGTAAAAGGCGATTGCACATCTTTGTCGCCAAGTACAAGTTATCTTTCACTTGTCTTTGGTGTTAGAATTTTTGGACCTCCCAGAGGCAAATTGCTGCAATGACAGGTGCTAGTCTAGATGTTCGCTTTTAATGAAGAAATTATGTTTCTTCACATCGAGTTTTATATAATGCATTGACACCGTTCCCATCGTCACTGTCAATAAAGAAATGGAAGATACATTCAACTATGTTCAATTTATTTTTAAATCCTTCGATTATAAAAAGTTGTGGTAACCGGTACATGACAATTATTTGCATAACAATTTCGAAACTGATTTGCAGCAACAATATCGTTTTGTCGTGAGTAACTTAAGAATTTCTTTGTATTTTGTTACTCTTGCAAATCTTACAGGATCTGGAAACACAAAAAACTTATCTCTCAGCCAATCCAAAGTATTATGTTACATAGATTTGCCTTAAAGTTGTGAAAATTTCTAATAAGTCAATAGAATCGGTTTTTTCGTGCATAACCGTTTCATGCACCCAATCTGAATCAAAAGTGAAATTTTTCTACTCTTATGTGATTAATTACAAGTCTAGTGAAAACTAATTTAATAATTAAAGATGTGTTCAGTTAAAACATTATGATAATTATAACCATTAGGTGTGTCGTATTGAAGGAAACAAGGAACTAAAAAACTAGATAAAATCTCAAAGTACCTAGATCTAATGATGGCAATTTGTCTTGCATTTTGCAACAAAATATCTAATTCCCTTCTAAACAATAAAAAGATAAACCGACCTACTTGTATCTAGAGTGTCTAAGAAGATCATTTTACTTTCCAGTAATAACTGGAATTTTTATTTAATTATTGTCTTGGACTGTTGATTCATAAGATTTGAATGCTACAAATAAATAGTTTCTTGTTATTGTCAATAACTGTATTAATAATATTCCACGACCTTGCTGCAGCATATTTATTGAAATAAGAACAGGTGAACAACTGTCTCATCGATTTCAATTTAATACTATGAAAAAAAATGCATTTTTAGGGAAATGACCCTAACCTTGGCTTTAAAGTGTTTTATTAAGTGATGCAAGATTTTCAACTTTCAAACAATAATCGTAAATTCTAATCAAGCATTATTATTTATAATTTGTTGAGGACAAATCATCTGTTTAAGGTTGTTGTTGTTAAATCAGATCAATTAATAGTATTTAATTAGTATTTAGTTTGACAATCCAAGCAACTTTCATTTTTGGCACTCTAACTCTGAAAATTATTTTAATAACACTTAAAAGGCAGTGAAAACAGGTAGTGTATACTATTACACAAGTCTAAAATGAAAAAACAAACAGTAAGAGTTGGATTACGAATTTATGAACAATGGAAGTTACAAAATTATTTTCTTTGAGTAAAAACTGAAACAATAGGTGTGGGTTGCTTGCCGTAAAGTTTTTGTAAAGTGAAAATTGAATCGGGGGTGAAAGTAATTGAATTTGAAAATAACTGTTTTAATTAAATTTTTACCAATCACTAAATACTCTTATTGTGTTGTATGGACTCACGAATTGAAAGTAAAAGCAATTTAGCAGATTGCATGGTCATGGCTTTGGCCATTAGTTGCAATTGAAACAATTTATAGTGAACAGATATTAATTAAAAAGTGGTATCTAGGATAGCTCGTAATTTCTCACAAAAATGTAGAAATTTTTATGGTTTTAAATTAGGTGATTATGACCCACAAAATATAGATAAATGATTACAACCGATGATTGGGAAAACAGTAATTTAGTTTATTTTTTGGGAAAAATTGAGGACTTACAGATACTTGAAGCCGCATTCTGAAAGCTCTAAATCCAAACTGCACTGAACTGAAAGTAAACGCAATCACGTTCTCGTGAATGAAACCACTGAAACCGTGCAACAGTGAGAGTAAACAGTAATAATGTCTTCAGGTAGAGTCGAGCACTTGTCTTTATAACATAGGTTGCTCAAAGGGGGGCAGCAATCTTTTACTAGAGACAAGACATGACTTTGGGACCGTTTTGGCCCGGTGTGAAATTAACGTTTGCAAATTTGACAGTCATTTTTCATTGTTAAATAATCGCCAAAATGCATACATGCAATTGTGATTGTGTGTGACCCATTGTTGACTTAATTGCAGGGTACTAAAAAAATGACTAAATTTTTCTAAAAATTTGAAAGCTCTTCAGTGGTCATAAATTTTAGTAACTATGAGTCAATTATGCAGTTAAGTAGCAACCAATTTATTTAATTTGTCTGCTATTAAATGTTTCAATAAAGAAATAGAAAAATAGAAAGTCACTATAACTTTATTTAATTAAAAGCTTCACAATCCATTAATTTATTAATTATTACAAAAAATTTTAAAACTGAACATGCAATATTATTCCCATGACAATAATTTGGAAGATTTTCTTTCTGAAACTGAAAAAAAAAACGAAAAAAACTAATTAGGATTTGTCACCTACACTCTTCAAAGCCTTGACATTTTCCATTATTGTTAAAATTTTGATTAAAAAAATCATAAAAATCTGCGTTGGTGTATCGATAAAAGCCAATTTAAGAAATTATTAAACACCTTCTGTAGCTTATGTAAAAAACACGTTTTCAGTGGCTGAAAAATTTTATATAAATTGTTGCACCATATTTTGAAAACAATTGTTTTTATTTCCTTTTTTCTTGGCAATCATGTCGTAATTAGTGTAAAACATAAAAAACTAAATAGTCTAATGAGCAAGGTTCGTGTCAAATAGCACCAAGCGTGCTGAATCTAATTAGACAATTATCTAATTTGGAGCACACATTATGTAAATAGGAATTCGGCTTGGGAGGTATGAGTTACATACTTGGATGTCAAAGCAGGAAAAACCATTCGTTTCAAAAGAATTGTAGGAAATAAGAAGTCACATGTTAATTGTACCACTTTCGAGAGAAATTATATATTTTTTCTTGGATTTAGTTGACTGCACGTTACTCATTAATTATCAGATTTTCAGTGACAGTATCAGAAACGAGGATTTTGTAATTAACTTATTGTTGCTCGATTTTAATTTATTAGAATGGAGAAATTTTTAATTAGATTCATTGTTGCTCTTTTCATATTTAAGTGTGACTAAATGGGTCGCCAAATTTCTGCTCTAGAAGACGGCTGACCAAAATGATTAAAATTCCATTCTGGTTCGTAATTAAGCAACAAGTTCACTGCACTGGAATTTCGTTTCTGTTGAATAATTTAATGTTAGTGCACGTCAGTAATTACAATATGTAATGGCAATAGTCAGAATTGTTCAATTCTTATAGCAGCTACACACGAATATCAATTAGTAATAAAATCATTGCAAAAGAAAATTTCAGTAATCAATCTTTTTTGAAAACTTTCTTTTCGAATTATGATTTCAGTTCCAGCAGGATCAAGGCTAACACACTGAAACCACTTGAGTAACAATCAAATTCTCCACCTCACACATCATTGTAATTACTTTCTTCCTCTCAATACCCTTGCATCAATAGCATTATGCAAATAGATTTTGTAAATGCAAAAATACATAATGTGAATACTCTCACGTATTCTTACTTCAATAATAATTAAAATAAACGACAATTAAATATTGCTTTTCTTAAGAATGATTTGGCAAACCAAAGGTGTTAGCTTATTATTAAAAATGCTCTAATTAAAGCCTTCACTGACATTTGGCTTCTAAATTGTATGTTATTTTCGCGTTTGATAGATAGATTTTAACCTAGAACTTTCGAAATATAGTCCACATGCAATAATCGGATCAAAAGTCGGTATTTATCGCTGAAATTCGATCACGATTAGGCAAAGAGTCCGTGACAGAGCTTCCTGCTGAAGGATTATTTTCAGCTTGGTTTTCAGTTGCGCATTTCAAAGGCGTTACCTGAAAGTGACTTTTCCTAACTGGAAGTTGTTTATAATTTGCCAAACGTGGTAGCTGTAGGCTCTTTCTAAAGCAGAATTGCTTTGGGAAGGTCGTGTTAGGCAATAAGGTCAAGTCATTGTAAAATTTTGATTGTTTCAGTCAGCACAAGATATATGATCATATAGACACAACAAACCATAATGATATGGAATTTTCAGCGGTTCAGATTGAGAAATTACCATACGAGGCAAAAGCTCGCGAATTGTGTAATCTATTTAATCTAATTTTGCTCGCAGTGGGTAATAAATACTTGATGGATTTAGAGTTTTGTGCGCACTGATTTATATTTAATTGGCGGTCATTAAGGAGAACGGTAAAGTTTTCACACTTGACTGTTGTTGGTATTTGGGCTACTACAAATATGTAAGAAATAATAAAAGTGAAAATAGATCAGGGCGTCGTTATATGATAATGAAATGAAAGTGTTATGACACAATATAATTTCACTTGGACTTGTTCTAGGACTTTTTCATGATTTTTCGGATCAAATTCCGGATTATATAATTTTTTATTTTGTGACTAGTGATTTTTATCGATCAGTTTATAGGTGTATTAATCAAAAAATATCTTTTTTAAAAGACTAATTAGTAGAGTAATTAATTATTATTAATTACACCGGAATTTAGATACAACAGTCACTGTATTAAAAACATCAAAAATAAATATCTCGTTTAATTATTATTACTACCCATAATTTTTTTATTTTATTATGTTTTATTATGTTCCGTCTTAGGTAATATACAATTTTATTTTATACTGTTCTAGAAATGTTCCAAAAATTGTTAAGTGAGAAAAAAGTGTTTTAGTTTCTTTTTTGCCTAAAAAATTGTCTTGTTAAACAATAAATAAGCTGCTCTGTGAATTTTTATTACTTCTGGAAACTGTGAAGCCAACTTCCGTAATATGATAATGCAAAAACCATATAAGTTTACGTTCAGTAACCTGTTTAGATGTAGACGATTATTTTTCAAGTTTCGAGAATAGAAATACTTTCATTTTCTTTTTGTTTACAATGTTACGTTTGTTTTTATTTGTGTAATTTTATTGCAACAATATGGTATTTACCAGCTATTTGAAAAGAAATACTAAATATTTCTATAAGAAAATAAACATAAATTTGACAAAAGAACTTAACAAGAACAACAAAGTATGAAGTAAATGAAAATAATTTCCCTTTTCGTTAAAAAAATAGAGACTTTTTAAATCAAGTTACGAATACAATAACACAGACATGGAGTAACTAATCTGATATTAAATGTTAAGTAATGTTTTTTTACGGTTGTGAAAGGATAATAATTTTTCGTTCAAGTGTTTACAGTTTTCAAAAATGGAAACAAGTTTTTATATTGTAACAATAAAGGTAATGTCAAACCAAAATATTTAATGAAAAACTTTTTTTAACAATAATTTTCTGTTTTGAAACTAATATGAAAATGTAATTGTTTTTTGTTTTATGTAACATTTATTAATTTT